GAAGAGCGTGTGATAAGAGTGCAGAGCCTGGACTCTTTAACAGTGAGTTGCTCCATAAACACACCAAGCTGACGTGAAAGAGGTGATGAAGGCCGACTGTTACGTCACCTCACGCTGCCTTTGTCTGGCCAGTCGGGTTGAAAAAGTGGCACTTGAACACACCACACAGACTACAGCCAATGGCTTACTATCAAGTACATTCTGTGCCTGTGTGAGAGAAATAACTCCCCCTGCCAGCAGGTGGTGGTATCTGTATTCAGAAAGGGACAGAAGAAGAGCTAGAATGAGGAAGTATAAACAAAGCACCTTTCGTTCAAAACAGCTGCTTCTAACCGAGAATATGTCTGATAAGAAGTTACAAATGACACTGCCGTTCTCAGCCCTTGGTCTTTTGGTTGTGGAGGTGAAAAACAAGGAGAAACTGCACTAAGTGGGTGAAATCATGGATACTACAGCAACATGCTGGAGGGGCTTTCCCGAACTGTTCCACTTAGCTGAACAGCCAGTCAGCAGTCAGAGTGAAGCTCTCTCTCGCCAACAAGGCCCGGCTGGCCGACACTGATTCAACATTCTGAATTGGCCACAAAGCTGCCGACAAGGTTCGACTAGTGCCAGTGGTGTGGGACACACCATAAAACTGAAAAGTTTATAGAATATTCCAGTAGCACCATTCTGGGAGATTCCAAAAGTAGCTGGCTAACTGGGAGCAGCTGAGGGTATCATGGCTGGGTATGAAAGGGGCATCCACCAAAGGCTCAGGATACATTTGTCAGGATAAATCGAGCCCTAACAGACGTTCACCAGCGTCCCATCAGTGTCCGATGGCTGACCGTAGGCTTGGTGTGTCTCTGGATGTCCTTCTTAGATAAAAAGTTAATGAGTAGTCAAAAATGGAAAAGATTTGTTTGCCCTTTTGGAAGCTCTAATAGGCACAGCAATTTTTTAAAGATTTTTTGCTTTGGACCTGTTTTGTTTGTACTGTGACTTGTGAAGACAGCTCAGAGTAGGAAGCAACTTTTGTGTGAACTCCTTGAGGTTGAGAAGAGGGAAACAGGATATCTATAAAAGTAATAACTTAATATAACCACCCAGACAGAGAAATACGTGTCATTTGTTTGCTTTGTCAGATTCATGTGTATGTACAGGTCTTTTTCTGTTTGTGGACAAAGTGTAGCTCAAAATGACTGTGAGGAGATGTAGGCTGGGACTTCACAGTGTTACAGCATTCAGAGTCTGCCAAATCCACCTAACCAAATTCTTCATTTATTGGTCCCAGAATGCACAAAGGAGACAAACCCAAAATGTCTCAGCCAGATTCTTTGCATTCCTGATGAGAGTGGTCACTCAGCAACTAAGAACCTCAACAAAACTCCTGCCAGACCCCAGCAATGATAGACACAAGCTGAGTATTTAGGAGATAAAGCAGGGATCCTAACAAGAATGCGAAGGAGTCTTATTACTATACACCGACAAAAATATAGACTTTTAGGTTTCTTATATTTCTAAAATCATGCAAATGTAGCTATGGCATGTCAAGTGTTCTGGTGTTATTTCCACTTACAAGTACAAACCCCATTTCCAGAAAAGTTGGGACATTTTCCAAAATGCAATAAAAACTAAAATATGTCATTTGCTTATTTGCTTAGGCCTTTATTTAACGGACAAATGTACAAATAAAAGGTTTTAAGCCTTTTCACTGACCAGCTTGATTGTGTTTTGTAAATAAAAACAAATTTTGGATTTGACACACCCAAAAAAAAAAAGTTGGGACGGACGCTAAATAAAACTGAAAAGTTTATAGAATATTCCAGTAGCACCATTCTGGGAGATTCCAAAAGTAGCTGGCTAACTGGGAGCAGCTGAGGGTATCATGGCTGGGTATGAAAAGAGCATCCATCAAAGGCTCAGTCTTTGCAATGAAGGATGGGTCTTGGCTCACCACTTTGTGCCAAACTTCATGAGAACTGTCAGCCAGTTCAAAAAGAATATTTCTCAATGCAAGATTGCAAACAATGTAGGTCTTTCACCATCTACAGTGCAAGATATTGTGAAAAGATTCTGGGAATCCCAGGAAGCCTCAGTGTGTAAAGGTCATAGGCGCAAACTACTGTTGAATGAGTGTGACCTTTGAGCCCTCAGGAGGCCTTGTATGAGAAGCTGTCACGCTACCATGATGAATACAGCCACATGGGATCAGGAGTACTTTGGTAAACTGCTGTCACTTTACACAGCCGGCCGCTGCATTCAGTAATGCAACCGGAAGCTGTGTTATACAAGGAGGAAGCCATACAACAGTTTTGTGCAGAAACACTGCTGAGTCCTCTGGGCCTGAGCTCAACTCAGATGGACTGACAGGCAATGGAATGTGTTCTGTGGCCTGACGAGTCCACGTTTCAGCTGGTTTTCAGGGAAACAGACGTTGGGTTTTCCATGCCAGAGACTAAAAAAAGACCATCCAGACTGTTATCAGTGAAAGGTGCAAAAGCCAGCACCTGTGATGGTGCAGGGGCATATCAGTGGCCACACCATGGGTGACTTATGTGCGGGGTACCATCGACACAGAGGCGTGTACTGGGATTTTAGAGAGAGACATATGCTGCCATGACATGGTCATGCCTGGCCTCATTCTGCATATGCTACAACAGCGTGGCTTCATAGACACAGAGTGTGTGTGCTTGACTGGCCTGCCTGCAGTCCAGATCTGTCTCCTATTGAAAATGAACGAAGAGGAGAATCAGACAA